TAATTCAGAGGGAGGGCCAAAACGAACGAACCATGCGCTTACTTCGTTAGAAAGGAAGGGTTAATATCGCTAAAAGCGAGAAAAAAAAAGCAAAATACCAAGAGAGAGATCTCCGATTCGCAGAGCAAAAGAGAGACGGACAGCACAAGATCACAGGATCGGATTACACTACGTACACTCGTGCAGCTAGCTGTCCCGACGTTGTTTTTCCATGTATGTACGGATGCTACACTTCATCCTATAATGTAAGATATTTTTTTGACACTAATGTAGTGTCAGAAAACGTCTCAGGAATAGATCTGTCGCGCATGCACAACTGTCTTGTCTCGTGTGTGCACACGTTGCTTGGTTCCACCACACACATCTCTCTTTAAAATGCATACGGCTCTGATCAGTGTGGATTGATTCCACAGCCTCCACCGTAAATGTACACAGATTCAGATGATGTCATGTAGAGAAGGCGCTACAATTCTAACAACAGCGCTGCTATACACACGATGGTGTGTGGACGATTCCTGAACGACAAGGCAGATCAACTCATCCATGCACAACAGTAAAGTGAAGCAGACGGCTGGATTTGGCCGTCGTCTCCTTGTCGTGCACGCAGTATCGTCTTTACAGCAGTTTCGTTCTAACAAATGGGCTTGCGATAAGGAGAGCCACTTAAGTATACTAGCTAGCTAGAAGGTGAGTGTGACGGTGTGAGTATACAAACCAGAAAAAGAACTCAAGTGTGAGTGAGAGAGATTGCGGAGGAGGTTGCGCGAGTGCTCGGATGCCAAAGTTGCAATCCGCAGACATATCCGAGCGCACTGACGGCTGGCTGCTCCGTCGCCGTCGCTGGTCGTCAGTTGAGACCGACCTCGTGTCCATCTCTTCCAGACCGTGACACCACCGGACCGGTGCATGTACTCCGCCCTCCGTGTCTGCGTCACGGCGCATGGGAGGGAGGGAGGGAGGGAGGGAGACTCGGCAAGGCAGGCAGGCAAAACGCCTTCCGTCGACACGTCCGCACGGCCTCCCGCTCTCCATCTCCAGCCGCCAAATGGAGCGGAGGCCTGACGATAACGCCGCTGCTTACTGAAATACTCGTTTTTCCTTCTTTCGTTTAGGTCACGCTCCCAGATATTCTCTCTGGTCCTTTTTAGTTCGCATATAAGATTTGACTGAAGTCAAGCCTCATAAAATTTGATTAATTTTATAGAAAAAAATACCAACATTCACAATCTGAAATCAATATCAATAGATATGTCATGACTTAAAATTTCATATTGTATAACTTTAGCATGGCAGACGTTGATATTTTTTTATATAAATACGGTCAAACTTTGTGAAGTTTGACTTCAGAGAATTCTAATATGTAAAGTAAAAAAGACCGGAGGAAGTACCTATAGTATATGTTTCTTGACAGGTGAAGGCTGAGCTCGCGTTGAACGCCCTTTGGGAGGGCGCCGCACCGTTGTGAGTGCTCTTTCAGGTTACTTTATAGGGGCCCAAGGAGAAATGCGGCGTCAGTCCTGGTTTCTTCGGTACAAGTCATGTCCAACTACTGAAGTGTTTCTCGTCAACAAAGTCACGCGTCTAACTAACTGCTTCTTTCTAGAAGAAGGATCTGGATTTTCAGCGACCGACGCACCATACGCGCGCTGCATGCCTACCCACCACCAGGAGGAAGACCGGATCGGACCGCACCATGGTTGGGTCCGGTCAAGCAGACGAACGATTAAGAAAGAAAGAAAGCGCACGCACCGTCCTATGCACGCACCGGTCCTACGTAGTACTCCTACCACGCTCCCATAGCGTTAGAATGGTCCAGCGCAGAGCCACGACCAGTAGCCTCAGCTAGCTCCGTCCTTTTCTCCGGCGATCCTACGCCCCGGTGAGATCTCACCTCCCATACAACGAAAGCGTATCACAGTAGCCTAGTACCAGTACGCGCGCCTCCCTGTCAAAAGCCACCATGATTCGCCTCACGAAAGCCCTCGGGTTCCAGCAGTGTAAGTGACTGTCAGCATTGACTGATGACCCAGAGCAGTGCAGGAGGAGCTTAGCCACACACCTCGCCCGGCCACGCTTAGAGAGAGACAGAGAAAAATGAACCAATGCTCCAGAAAAGATGGAGCGGATGCCGTGCGGATATGGCCAATCGGTCGGCGGATCTGCTCCGCCGGGAGGATGTGGATAGATGCTGCCTGTACTGTACTGATCGGGCGGGCGGGCGAGAGATGGATGGCGATCTCGCGAAAGGGAGAGGCGGCAGGCACTGTGCCGGGAAACCGACGCCGGCCGTCGCGCACCGAGCCCTCCACTACCACTAGCCTATTAGGCCAACTCCACCGCACGACCCCAAACGGACATCCGGATTGGCCGGATTTTGTCCTTTTGGGGCGCCGATGGGTTCGCCCGTGTTCGCCTTTGTCAGATGGGTCGTGCGTGCGCGCACCGCGGCCGCACCCCAAATCATGTCCGGAATGGACGTGAATAAAACAAATATAAAAACTAGAATGAAATAACTAAAAAACTAAATAAAAGCATTTTAAAAAAACATAAAACAATATATAGGGGACGGCCACTTAAACGGCCCAGTTTGCACGCCCACTTAAAAGGCCCAGTTTACATAATTAACATATAAAACAAAATAAAAAAAAGCCTCCGCCTCCCGCGCGCTCTTGTCGCGCCGTGGCCGTCGCCATCTTCACTGGCCGCCGGTGTCGTCGTCGTCGCTGACGAGGTCGACGTAGTCCGGCGGCGTCCACAAATGGGCCGGAGGTGCGTCGTGGACGGGGGCGGGCTGGACGGCCTGCACCACCTCCTCCCGTGGCAAGGCCTCCCGCTCCGGTGACCGCGGCTGAGTGGGGCACCAGTTCACGCCCACGCCGGCGGACATCTCCGGAGCAGTGCAGGACCAGCACCACCCCTGGCCCAGCAGCTGCTGGAACGCGGCCGGCGGGTCCTCCCTCCTCTCGTCCTCCACGGCCACCATCTGGAGCTCCGGGAAGGCGACGTCCCATTGCCGCTCGTCGTGCGTGTACATGGAGTCGTCCATGACACGCCTGAGGAGACGGGCCTCCTCCTCCGCTGACATGCGAGGAGGTGGAGGGGGCGATGGAGATGGCGATGGCGATGGCGTGGGCATGACGCCGCGCACCCGCCTACGCCCGCGCTCCTGGGCGCGCCCCTGTCGTGGCCGCCGCGACCCCGTCGAGGTGCTGGCGAAGAAGGACGCGTGTCTGGTGTCGTGCTCGTCACGAAACCAGGTGTCCCACAGCGCGGAGTCGGGGGCGTACCTGGGGTCGTAGAAGAGGTCGTCGGGGAGGAGGCGGCGGCGGCGCTCGATCTCCTCTTCGCGCGCACGACCGCTCGTCGGGACCGGCGGGATCGGGACCCAGTCGGCGGACAGATGCCAGTTATTGGGGAGATGGGCGTCGCTCCAGGGGAGCGGAGTCCTCGTCTCCCAATAACGGCGGCACACCGACGCGCGAACGTAATGCCGGTCGCGCGTGCCGGCGGACTTGGGTGCGATGGAGAACGCGGGCGGCACGGGGGCCCGGTGTGGTGGCGATGGCGACGGCGTCTCCTCCTTCTTCACCGAGCCGCGGCGGCGTCCCGACGAGGAGCCAGCCTCGCGGTCGTGCCTGCCTTTGCGGCCGTAGTTCCATAGCCCCATGGCTGCGGGCGGCCGGCCGGCAAGTTCTTGGCTAGGGTTTGGGACGTGGTCGCCGCTGTCGGGTTTCGAGGAGGCCGCGGGGTGGCGTGGGGCAGTGTGGACGACGACCCGTCCACACTTCCCACTTAAAGAAGGACGGCGACCGTTCGACGTGCGAATGACAGGTGGGGCCGCCCGCTCGTGCGCATTGATGTGGGCGGGTGGGAGGTAGGTGGCTGCCTACCAAGCGGCCCCGACGCGGACAAGCGCGCGTCCGTTTGGTGTCCGCCGCGACCTAAACCCGACGCAAGTTTGCGCTCGAAATGGGTCGGCCCGAACACAAAACGGACAGGATGGATCCGGGCCGTCGCGCGCTGGGCCGCCTTCTTTGTTCATTTTACCTTAAATGAACGAGGCCGAACATGATAGGGTCGCGCCGTGGAGTTGGCCTTAGCTTGGCTAGCTTGTTATTCCTGGCATGCATGGCAACAGAACAGATCGCGGTTGGGCAGCACTTTGGGTTCGGGATCTCGCTGCCCGTCCACCTTTTGTGGCTGGAGTTTAGCCGGATCAGGCCTAATTAATCCCGGATCTTTTTAGTCGCTGAGATGACATCAGGTGATAAGCCACGCCCGGCACAGGCTCCTCTTATCCTCTCGCCAAAGTTTTACTTGTCTAGCCTGCTTTAGAAAATCAATCAATCGTGTTGGTACTACTCCTTCCGTTTTAAATTACTCGTCGCAGGTATGGATGTATCTAGATGTAAAGGCCGGCTTCCGATAAAATCAATCAATCGTGTTGGTACTACTCCCTCCGTTTCAAATTATTCGTCGCAGGTATGGATGTATCTAGATGTAAAGGCCGGCTTCCGATAAGCTCAGGCCAAGTGGAGGGGCTCGGTTCGCCGGGCTGGTCTGGTCACACACCGTGTGCTCTGCTGCCCCGACCGAATCCCCACAACATCTCCTCCTCAGTCTGCCAGTGTGCACGAACCACACGTCCGGATCCTGACGCTATCAGCTCACTGTTCTTGTGTACTGTACGCATGCAGAGAGGGCGCTGGAAACAGCTAGCTATAAGCTGCCGCTGTGACATGCTTCCAAGATGCCAATCCTCAACAAAAAACAAAGGTTTCCAAGATGGGATGCCTTTTTTACACACGCAGACGTGCATCATGGGGCTGGACCGGGACTGAAAACAACCAGGGCTAACACACACTACTACTGCTGCTAACTGGGCACTTTTTCTTCAGTGGCGCTGTACTCATCAGATCTCATCTCACTCCTGCATCAGATACCCTGCATTGTTCAACATAGTACCACGCGCAGCGTATCCTGCACTGTCACCTTTCCGCCTAGCGCATACGAGCCACAGCTCTGGTGGAGGAAGGTAAGATCCGATCATGCACGCACGCACGCACAGGAAAAAAGGCGAGCTAGATGCAGGACAAAGACAGGAAATCAAACCAACACTTACACTAGTATATGCCCCGTATGCTGCACGGAGATTACACGGTTTGGTAGTGCAGGTTTGCCACGCGCGGCACAGCCCATTTTACAAACCGAATTCGATTCTGAAAGCCCGGGATTCACTGGCGCGCACGCAAGGATCCGACACGAAGAAAAATAAGAGTGTGCATACTTGATTCAGCAGGGTGCATAGATGACGGGAGAACAGCTGCGGTGGAGTATGATGTTTGCTGGCCCTGCTTCCGCGTTATGACAGTGAAGCTGCTCCGTGGCCAAACGCTACAGATACTTCCTCGCGAGAGCCCTCACCTTGGTGTCGAAATGTGACGATGCGATGCGAGAGCCGGGCAGGTACAGGGGGTTGAGGAATATCTGCAGAAAAACACAAGATTTGTAATACCACTTTATTACTTCTTCCGTTCCTAAATATAAGTCTTTTTAGAAATTCTAATATGGACCAGATACGGAGCAAAATGAGTGAATAAAAAGGGCAACCTGGTGCATGTAGCTCCCGCTTGCGCAGGGTCCAGGGAATGGTCCGACCCTTGAGTGAATCTACACTCTAAAATACGTCTATATACATCTGTATGTAGTCCTATTGAAATCTCTAGGAAGACTTATATTTAGGTACGGAGGGAGTACATATCAAGACCCGAACTGATACATGTAAGATCTTCTAGAACGAGACTGCAGACGCTTGTCAAGATTTGTTATGGAAACAGTGCCCAATTCTGCATCAGCAAGTAACCTTGCATGTCTTTTTTAGGGAAAGTAACTTTGCAAGGTATGGGACTCGTAAGCAACCCATGCGATTTTGACCCATACATATCGTCCACCCACCGGTTGCCTATTTGCAGGGTAGACAAGTGCCATCGCCTTGACACAGACAGAGCATCTTGATAAAAGCATGACAAAAGATAATAGACCGACGCCAAAAATTATGTTCACCACAAAAATGGATACTCAGTGGCATTACTGTTCAGTACGCATGATTTGACAATTGACGTATGTGTGCACTTAACTGAGCATTTATAGCAAACTAAAATGCGATAAGAGGATTCTCTAGATCGTGATGGACCGATCGATGATCATCTTACCTTGATGTAAAGTTCATGGACCTCTTGAAAAAAGCTTTTTATTCCATCCTCGCTGCGTGAATCGTGAAGCAACATGAATCTAGTATGACCGGCGGTTACATAAACAGACACCACAAGGTCATTAAATCTATCAACCGACCTCAGGAACCTGAAAATGCAGGAAGAGTTTGATGACGTAAACAATATAAAAGTTATATGAGAAGACTATTTTTGGGCTGTGGTATTTTTGGATGTGTCCTAGAGAAAGACCACACAATTTTTTGGGTGTATCCTACAGAACAAAATTAATCAACCAACAGAATCTCACATTGCATTTGTGGTCCATGCTAGGTCCTGAACAACATCTAACGCAGCATGCAGGATGAACTGATGGTGATAAGCCAGATCTTCTTTCTGAGAGGGAAAGTAAATGCCAGAAGATTAGACATGTAAATTAATAGTAATTCAATATGACTAAACTACTTCAGAAAACAGACCCAGTCAAGAAGACTCAAATGCATAATTGTATTTCAATTAACGCTATTACATAGAAGTTCCAAAATTTCCTGGGAACAGATGAAATTACAAAAGTTAACCAGGAGGCATAAAGCATAGACAATGCCAGAAATACCATGTATACAGGGGCAAAGATACCACATACTCCCTCCGTTCCTAAATATTTGTCTTTCTAGAGATTTCAACAAGTGACTACATACAGAGCAAAATGAGTGAGAATCTACACTCTAAAATATGTCTATATACATCCGTATGTGGTAGTCCATTTGAAATCTCTAAAAAGACAAATATTTAGGAACGGAGGGAGTACAACACTGTTTTAACTCAGAGAAGAAAATTTGCAGCACTCCGTTAATGGCTATCTCCTACAGATTTTTGCTATGGGGCATGATCCAATATGATTTATGCTGCTTATCTATTAACTATTTCGATTTTTCATATCCGGGGGCATTTTTACCAAGTTATATAGCTAAATACAATAGAGAGAGAGAAAATGGAGTGCAGGACACATACTTTGGGTGCAGATCCAACTTCTGCCTCATAGATTGGGATGTCGTTCTTACTTACAATCACGAAGCATGCTGTACTGGCCATTTCCACCAACAGACTAGTTTCACTCTGGCAGCAATCTTCTGATGTTGCAAACAAAATAATATTAAATAAGTTTGATGGTTGGGAGGAAATACAGTTGAGCAAACAAACTAACCATCAGCAAAATAAAAATAAAAATGCACCACTACCCTAGCTCCACAAGGATAGCATTTGAGCATTCAAAAGTTTGGCATATCCTTCTGCAATTTCGTTGTTAGTCTATCTGTAAAGCTGTAACCGATTACTGATGTGCTGATGTGCATGCCTTCTGTTGCTTTGTACTAAGAGACTTTAACTGCAAATCGCAATGCCATGTCACTTCTGTGGATTAACCCATCTTATTTATTTTTTTCTCGAACACGCAGGAGATCTGCGTATCATTATTTTAGAGAGGAAGAAAAGGGTAGAAACCCTGAGTAGACATGGCTCTGTTGCTGTTAAGACTGAAGTTGTGCTTGTACCAAAAACTTTGTAAATTTATGTTTGTACTATAAATAGTTTGTAAACCCTGAGAAGAAGAAAAGGGTAGAAGCCCTGAGTATACATGGCTCTGCTGCTGTTAAGAGTCAAACAGTTTCTTGTATGCTAAAATCACAGTTCACTGGAATAACTCCCATTTGGTCAGATAGTAGAGATTTGAGCGTGCGTGCAAACTGATATGCAAAAGGTGTACATTCATAGGTTTTATCTAGTTCTATCACTAAAATTTTAACATTTTATTTAGAGAAACAGGGCATCCCCGCCCCAGTTCCATTAACATGAAACCAGAAGTCACGGAGCAAAATGTTAACAATCGCACACTGCTCAGAGTAGAATAGCAGTATCAAAGCATAACAGACACAACATATCCTTCTCAAGTATGGGTGGGTTTGTGACTGAAGTTGACACTATGGTTAAGCCAAGTCTGGTTCAAGAAGTTCTGCGCATCTCGCTACAATTGTTTATAGCAATCGTTTGCAAGATGGTGAACGCCAGCTTATATTGGATTGGAGATATCTGTCAAAATCAGAGGGACTATTCCGTGGAGGCCCCAAGTGATCTAAGTATGCATCAAGCATTATGAAAAAATCAAGAAAAATAAATCTTATTGCGCAGATTCAAAGATACTTTGATCACTACTTATTATTGTAAGACCAATGTGCTTAAACAATACAACACAGATTTTCTCATACCCCACCCATTTATCAGATCCCAATATAATTCTACTTCCACTGCTCCTCACTTCTACAGCAATTCCTTCTTCGCCTGGCTTTGCCAAGGTCCTATGTCTAGCTACAAATAGCGAAGTCAGTTTTCAACTGTACGTGCTGTGCTCTGTTCAATACGATTAGAACTACACTACTGCTCCTTTGTTGATTCTTTTGACAAGCTACCTGCTGCTGATTAACCAAAGACTGGATCGATCCATCCAAACCTAAGAAAACTCGCGATGGGGGAGAAGAAGAGTAGGAGCTGCTCACATGGAAAGGGCGGGGAGGAAGGCCGCAGATTCTCCGGTCGCCGGAGCCGCCCGCCGGCGTCTTCCTGCTCGCGCCTCGGGGGAGATCAGAGGGTGGGAGATCTAAGCGCAACGAGTAATGAGACTTCGCCCTCTTTCCCGTTCGCTTAGGTACCTGCCGGTGGTTGGGCCGGGCCGTTATATTGGTCAACAGAGTTGTGGGCCTGCTCGAGCCGGTTTACAGACGACTGGGCCGAGGTGTCGCGGCTGAAATCCCCACCGGTCTAGCCTGAGACCTCCGGCGAGACGCCGGCAGCAGGAGCCGCAGCAGCGTAGAGCCGTCCGGCCGCAGCCTACCACCGGCGAACTCGCTCCTGACGCCGCGGACCTTCTTCAGCCTGCATAGCTTCCGACAAACCTAGTGAGGACTCGTGTGATGAGCTCTGTGCTTCCGAGTCCCGAGCGTTGAACTGGATCTGAAGCTCGGGGTGTCTCCTCAGGTCGGGTTCCCGGAGTTGAGAGCCCCGCCTTGCGGGATGGGAAGGCTGGCCGTCACCGCCGCGGTGGCCGCATGGGCTATCCCGATCGCCGCCTTGGTTGACTCCATCGTGCCTGACCCCTACATGGTCAGTCCTCTTGTCAGGATATGCATATGTCTCGGTTTTTCTTTTTTATGCCCCAGCTTTTGAACTGCCCATTTCACTTGCCTATAGTTTGATGATCAAATATAGTAGAATTACGGTAATCTATTTAGTTATCTGATATAAATGCTAATGGGGAACAGCTATCCCTTTTGTTTCACAACATCGTCCACTGAAATTGCAATGACGCTTGTTTGCCCAATGCTGTTTATACAAGTACTATATTAGACACAATAATTTTCATTGATATGGTAGCATTGGTTCTCATGTGGGAAAACGTCATCGTTTGCATGAAGGAATTTCATGAGTTGTAGTTTCATAGTTAACTAGAAAGTTGAGTTCTGCGGAAAAAATAGATTCGGCGACGTGAGGCATAGGTAGAGCTTTAGCAAGATCCTTAGGATTCATACTTTTGTCTGATATATCACTGTATTCTCATTCTGAAAATGTATATGGCACAATATGCTTCCAAATAGAACATGATAACATGTCCACTACCACTTTATTGTTTGCTTTTAGGATGAGATATTCCATGTTCCCCAGGCGCAACACTATTGCCGTGGAGATTTCTTAACGTGGGATCCCATGATCACCACCCCTCCTGGCCTGTGAGCTTCGACTACTCCTTATTGCTTCAAACTCAAAATTTTCTTGTGACGAACTGCTGTCTGCAATTTTGCAGGTACTACATTTCTCTAGCATATCTTGCTTCCCTGTTTCCTGGTGCATGGGCTATTAAGGTAGCAGAGGCATTTGACCCCCTTTGCACCACGGCACTTCTCCGGTCAACTAATGTTATAATGGCAATGGTCTGTGGTGTTCTTGTCCATGACCTGCTTCTGTGTATCAAGCCAGGAATTGGCAAGATGAAGGCAACTGCTTATGCTATTCTTGTAGCGTTGTATCCTGTTCACTGGTTCTTTACCTTTCTGTATTATACTGATGTCGCATCATTAGCTGCAGTTCTTGCGATGTACCTGTCCTGCTTGAAGAAACGGTTTTGGGTCAGCGCACTGGTGAGTGTTTGAACGCGGTTCTTTATAGCTTTCGGTGAGATAAGGTTGCATTTTGTGGAGACCATAGCATATACATTATTTGTTGATTTATTGTGCTCACAACAGGAGCTTCTTTAGCTTGCTTGAGTTGCAGGAAGTTGTACATTCATAAAATTTATCCGTAGCATACTTGATGGTGAAGGTTGTTGATTCATAAAAGAATGTTCAGTGCCCCACATCATTTTTTAGCAACCAAACCACTCATTTCACATTGAAATTTTTGATATACTTCCTGCCTTTGTTAATTATTTTTGTTCCTTTTGCCTGCAGTTCGGTGCTCTCTCAATACTTTTCCGGCAGACTAATGTAATATGGATGATATTTTTTGCTGCCAATGGAGCCATTGCATATGTGCAAGATCTTTCTCTCAGTGACTGCCCTTCTGATGAGAACAGTGAACCAACAGATAAATCAAGAGCAGAAGTGTCTGACAGGGATAGCAAAGTCAGTGCTTTAGGTTTGAGAAGGCGGCGAACTAATCACTCCATAAGTAAGAGGGGAGTTGTTTCTGGATCTACTAAATCACACACGAGTGAGTACTCCAGCTGTTTTAATTGAGATTTTTTTTCCAACTTTTACTGTAAGCTTGTAGCTTCCTTTTTGGGATTCACTAGGCGGCTTGTTAATGTCCTTTAAAATTGAAAATAGATCTTTTTCTGATATGATTGATATTTTTCTTCTTGTTATGAGAAAACCAGATGCAACGTTTTATCAATTTATACGTTCTAATTTTGAATGCAAAATGATTTTTGTTGAGAAGGATTTAAATTCTAGAAGATCATGTGATCTCAATTTTTGTGTGCAGTCCTTTCCACAACATATTAAATATTTATGATTGATGTGCAGGTTTTACGGAAGAACTATTTGACATCGGCTTCAAAATATGGAATTCAAAGTGTAAAGTTTTAATCACTTTTGCACCGTTCGCAATAGTTCTGGTGACATTTGGAGCATTTATAATCTGGAATGGTGGCATAGTACTAGGTAACTCTTATGTTGAATTGCTCTTTTTACATCTTTCATAGGGCTTAGCAGTTGATTAAGTGATAGATAATTTTCTAACATGCGCCTTTGCTTGGAGTGATGCAGGTGCCAAGGAAGCTCATGTTGTTTCACCACATTTTGCACAGTTATTGTACTTTGGTCTAGTGTCAGCTACTGCCCTCCTACCGTGGCATTTTACTCCCGGACGAGTATCAGACTTGTTCCACTGGTGTAGAAAGAACAAAACCTTTAGTTCTCTGGCAATGCTGATAGCTCTTGGTTTAAGCTTTGTGGCTATACATTTATTCAGGTTTTTACCTGAACACCTCGTATGTGACTTGTTCGCTTTAAGTATAAATTTTTCGAAAAGCAGAACCTTTAGAGGCTGAAGTTAAGTGGCAAGTAACTATATACATATTCAACTTAGCAATTGCAACCTACGAGCAGAATTCCAGTTGCAGTCAAAATGTCAGAAGATTGTTGACGATTCTACTTTTCACTTCTGCATAACCAATGTTTTCTTTGTCTTTTGTTTATGTTTATGAAATCCTAATAGCCTCATCTTTTGGTGCAGTATTGCTCACCCTTATCTTCTGGCTGACAATAGACATTACACGTTCTATATCTGGAGGAAGGTCATACAAGCTCACTGGATGATGAAATACATTTTGATTCCACTTTATGTGTACTCATGGTTTTCAGTTATCAACATCTTAGGTAAACTTCTTCGCTCTTAAGAAAAGGTTGTCTATTCTGAGAAGTATAATGAACTGAAACTTCTGTAGTTTTTCCTGATCTTACAGGGAAATCGCAGCCAAGAGTTTGGGTGGTGTCCTTTGTTTTCTCAGTTGCTCTAGTTCTCGTCCCTGCTCCGTTGGTTGAATTTAGATACTACACAATCCCATTGGTCGTACTGGTCCTTAATTCTCCAGTAATCGGTAATGGCAAATTGCTTGCTTTGGGGTCTGCATATGCTGCTGTGGATTTGTTCACTCTGGCGATGTTTCTGTTCAGACCATTCCATTGGGGCCATGAGCCGGGAACACAAAGGTTCATGTGGTAGTTTAGTTGATGAAATTGACAAGTGACCAACTCCAGTGTTCAGTCACAGCTGCTCCGGCTTATCGGTGCCCCGCTTGGAGAAATTAGAACTACAATGATGTGTGATCTTAATTTTTTTGGGGGTCAGTTTGTGTGTATACTAGTGTTCTTATGAGTTTAAGTCGAAAATAGGTGCTTGGATTTGAAGAGATCTTTTTTTCTTCAACACACACCCAAATGTGAGTTGTTTTGTATTAGAAGATGAGGCGGAGAGCACAAAGTAAAAAAACAATCCCAGGCTAAAACAAAATTGAACCCAAACAAACGGAAGAAGCTGCAAAAATTTGAATTGTACAAGGCCGCAATGACTGAAGAAATGAGTATTTGATATTGCAGTTTTATCACTTTGTACGGAATGGCGCGTGTTCGTATCCTGTGAAGTCCAGGCAGAGTATATACTACATAAAAGAAAGAAAGAAAAAAACTGTTCCAGTCTCTTCCTGAATCTTATACAAGTCGACAATGCTTAGACAGTTTCTAAAACTACACACACAGAAGCTGCACTGCAATCTGCACCACTGCACTTTCTCCAGGGCACATATCACTGAAACACTGAACAGTGCCTCTACACGGAATTCATCCATTCAAGGTCAACGTGCATCAAATCGATCTCTTAAACATGAACACAGCTATATACACAATGTGCAACAATAGTGTCACAACCCTGTACAGATTTCAGCTGTTCGTGTTCGACAAAAATGCATGGCAATGTTCAGCCTTAACAAGAACCGAGTTCACCCATGTTCTCTCAAGCGAAAAAAAAGCAGTCAATAACCCAGTGTAAGATGGTTTAAAGAGACCCTTCTGCTCTGTTTTGGGTTTTAGCGTAGTCCCTCCGTATCTTCCAGAGCTTCTCCACAACCTCTTTCATATGTGGCCTGTCAGCGCGGGTAGGAGCGACGCATTGGAACATCACATCGAAAATCTTATTCAGTATATCCTCGTTTACTGCTTCGGTCAACATCGGATCCAGTATCTCCTGGACATTGCCTTTGTTATATCTCTCGAAGGCCTGCATCAAAGGCATTATACCAACCTTAGATGGCTTGTACTCCCTCCGTTCCCAAATATTTGTCTTTCTAGACATTTCAAGTGGACACAACATACGGATGTATGTAGACATATTTTAGAGTATAGATTCACTCATTTTGCTTCGTATGTAGTCATTTGTTGAAATCTCTAGAAAGACAAGTATTTAGGAACGGAGGGAGTAGAATCTAAGTGGCAATAGATGGGATAAGCAGCCTAACAATTACTGGTGTGTGTTTTTTCGGTTAAAATGAGTGAAAGATAAGTATCTGATATCTGAGATACTGTGACAATAGTTTTTTTTTCCTGTGTACACATGGAGGGGGCAGCATAGTGTATGGTTTAACTTGTAACAAAATATCACATTATGAATCATCAAAGGAAGGCACACACATCACCTACCCAAACGAATGAACACAGAAAAACACAGATAAGAGTACGAGGATGCAATGAATTGAACTAAATAAATGATTGAATAACTAGTTCACAGTTTTATGTTCTGAAGCTCATTCTTGAAACTATGCTGGCATTGAGTACTACATTTCTGTTTTCTGCTTGTAAGAACTGAGCGTCACTCGGTTAGATTAGAGGCACCGATGCTTGCCCATCCCATCCCATGCGAAACCTAGCTTCCATGGGTGCTCATGGTTCTCCTAAACTAAAATGGCACCAGTGCTAGTGCCTGTTGGTCGAGTTTTTTTTTCTATTTCTAGTTGTGCTTGTGTTTACAAATTGTCTCCTAAGTGGTTTGATCTACCTTTCATGGGGTACCACTAAAGAGAAATCTTGAGCAACATACATGATTCATAACAGAGCTAACTAGTAAAGCTTAGCTGATTAAAAAATTAAACAGGATACCAACGACTGAAATGATATAAATATAAGAGAGGAAAGCAAAGACATACCCATCGCACGGTAATCTTTTCTCTTCCTCCTCTGTTCACCTCAATAGGACGACGACCTGATAGGATTTCCAGGAGCAAGATGCCGTAAGAGAACACATCACTCTTGACTGTCAGATAGTTTGTCCGCAGATACTCTGGATCCACATAGCCAGCTGTTCCTTTCACATCAGTTTGAATCTCTGACTGGCCTGGATCTGTTGAACCAATTCTTGCAAATCCGAAGTCGGCTACTTTTGCCCTGAAGCCTTCAGTTAGTAGAATGTTTGATGACTTCACATCCCGGTGTATAATGGGCTTCTCTAAAAGCATAAGATTGCATTATAATTTAAGAAAAGATATATGCAAATCGCCAGCAGGAACGATCAAATTAGAATGCGTCTGTTTACCTGTCGATGCATCAAAATACTAAAGAGCAAAAGTATGTTATACAAGTTTACTTCTATTGAATAGATAATTGCATATTCATGCTGTTAGCTAAATCTTGCATTTAAATGGAGGACACAAAAGAAATAACATGGCTGATCCTTGTGATTGCTAAATTCATAATTTAGGTCGCACATGCAAATTAGGATTGTGTGTCCTTGTTGAGCATAGCCTCAAATTCTTGTGACTGTTAAACTTGCACGGCAAATGCTTATTTGTACACACTCTTAAAAAACGTTAGGCCCGCTTAATACGAAGCTGGAGCACATGTACATGACATTTTCTCAAGGCAACGGACAGCCAAAATAATTTCCGAAAACGTGTGCCATCACGATAACTGACAAGTACCACGAATTATTAACTTTCAGTGCAGCAAGAATACTATGTTCATGTGTTTGGTTACTGCTGAGGTAAATTCCTGAACATGTGACTGAATCAGAATGAAAAGTAGAACCATTCATTTAGTGTTTCACTTGACTGTTCTATACTCAGCAAATGAAAACATGTAGGCAAAGGTGTACCTGCATATAGATGCAGATAAGTTAATCCATGGGCGACATCTATGGCTATTTCAAGACGCTGACCGAAGCCCAATATTAGCCCATGTAGTCCTGAAAGACAATTTTAAAATGTTACTGTTCATCCTGAGAAGGAATCAAGTAAAGCAGCAATCTGGTTTGCAGCATACCATCCAAATGTTCCCTAAGAGTGCCATTTGCCACGAACTCGGTTATGACAATTCTTTCATTCCCTTTGTCAATATATCCAAGTAACTGGACCAGATTCCTGTGTTCGATTTTTTTTAGTAGTGCAATTTCATTTTTGAATTCTGCGTGTAAAGAAGCAAAATGTTCCTGGGAAAATAGACCGGATCAGAATCACAAGTCAAACAGGTGTAAAAAGAAGTGAAGGTACCCAATTTTTATCAACAGCTATCCGGATTGCGGAGAGGAAAAAATCCGACTAGTGAACAGGCTTACACAACATACAAAAGATATAAGAGCAATGCACAACTACTGGAACGAAGAATGCAATGCAGCATGTTTTATTGATGCATAACCCTGTTATTCTTATGTTGGTCTACACACATATGGATCGATCAACAACTGGGTCTACCTAAACATGCATTAGCCAATTTCTTGTTCTTTCTTGATTCCACCCAAGAGAGAGCAGTGGATGATAAGCTCAGTAAACAATCTAATACCTCCTTTGGTTTAGAGGAATTTCATAGGAATTCTAGAGGATAGGATTCTTATAGGATTTTTTCCTTTAGAGCCCTTTGGTTCATAGGAATGGATTCCTATTCCTACATAGGATTGGTTCCTATCCTCCACATTTCATAGGAAAATAAAAAAGAGCCTAGACTCAATGGAAAAATTCCTTTGGTGTCAACCAAATGACATCTTGTTTCCTATTCCTACTCATAGGATTTGAGATACATGTCATCTCATTTCCTACAAGATTCCTATTCCTATGATAATCCTATCCTATGAACCAAAAGAAACAAGCATCAGAAGGCGTGCCATTGTATATTACAAACCATCCACAGTGGCTTTGACCCAAACGACCAAAAAAAGGCTAGCAGCCTCCCCCAAAAGGGAGAAAAAACTAACTATACAAATCTGAACAAACCTAGAAAATTCGACAGAAAACAAAGCTAGGCTGGAGTATAATAGAACTTCTAAACTTCATGAAGTGTCATGTCTAATTAGGCTTTTAGCTAAACCTAATAGAGTGGAATTAAAGCAACCAGAATATACAATAATAGTTCAGTCATTGTGCTTATGCAAATCTCTAGTGTAGTTGCCAGAAAAAAGAAACTACCTTTCTTGCCCTTTTAATAGCCACAATAAGGCCATTTTGCAAGTCCATTCTGTAGGCCTTTCCAAAATAACTTTCGCCAATCATCAAGGCCGGCGAAAAGTTACGTGTCAGTTTAATAACCGTTTCAAGACTGAGGTTCAATGGATCATTTCTACTTGGCGGTGAAGATAATGAAAATCTAGATGGACTTGCAGGTACCCGAAGAGGGCTCGAGGGAATTCTGTCAGAAATTGACCTCATTTCAGAAGAACTCACTGAAAAAAGAAGGGAACAATATGTCAAACGGTGGCAAAGTGTTGATAACCACAAAATTTGCATTTATTAAATTTCATCACAAAAAATACGGTAGGCATTGATTCAGTGTGTTAACAGGTTCCATCACCCGTATATGAAAATTCATCATTTTTGCTTACAGGAATTTCCGTCTTTTGCAAGAACAGGATCTTCACTTCCATCCTTCCTTTTCGAGCGAAAGCAGGGGCACAAGGATTCAAAGCACACAAGAAACATTTCTGTAGCTGTAGCGGCTACCATAACGTTATCTGTCTCCGGTCCTCCAGTAAAGAAGTGTGATGTGCCTCATTTGTATCCGATGTCCCACATGAGCACGCTGACGGACACAATAGTTTGCCTCCAGACCTATCTCACTTTAGGCCACAATTTGTCCAAAATATATCTTCAAATCTCTCACACTTTAGACCAAGAGTTCTCCAAAATCTGCCCCCAAGCGTATCTCACTTCAGAGCAATACTTGTCCTCTTTTCCCTTGTAGTGGTACAGTACTACAATGCAAACAGCAAATGTGTAAAACATTTAATTTAGTCATTTGTGATGAATGAATTAATAAAGGAATAGCTACAACTCGAGGGATGACATGATCATAACTGGTGAGTAAATGAATTATCCTCCTAACCAATAAAGAAACTGCCTCCCTTTCCATTCTTGTCATTTGCCACAACACATCTACAACTGATACAACACTGGGGCCTTTTACATGTAGTACAACACTGGGGCCTTTGCATATTTATAGTAAGCAACTTGACAATGCACGCAACTAACAAACATAGATGACCAAACAAAACCACACTCTAGACAAAATTGTACTTATAGACAGATCGAACTAGCCACGAGAGACAAATTCACCCATGTGTGAACTGAAAACAGTAAGGGGAAGCAAACAAAAAGCCTTGAGACGGCGCCCCGTACAATTACCAAACCTGGCGTCCCCTAGCACAATCACAGCAAAATTGAAGCTTGATGGAGCCTTATCCGCAGCCCTGTCAGTTTCAGAAACAACACCGCGACAGGCCCCGCTTCTATAGCTTCCAGATTAAACAAGCGAGCTAGCGGCTGCAAAAAGTGAAGCATCGAGAATCGCAGCCCTACTCCCACAAAGAATCCCAAAAAGTGAACCAAGAACACGGCACTGGGCTACCAACCATTGCGACCGGCGGCGTGACAGAGGCGAGCTAGCAATCAAGCAGGGTACCCCCGCAAAAAGAAACAATCAAGCAGGGAGGCGACCTAACCACGCGTAGAAGAACCACCATCGCAATCGGCCTTCGAGAGGTCCGAGGAAGCAGGGACTCACCGGAGTATATAGGCAGCTATAGCTGAGCCGCCGCGCGCCGAATGCTCCGCCGCCGCGGAAGCCACAAGATCCACGCTGGGACGTGTACGCGGAAATGGCGAGGAAGGCGCCGACCGGGACAAGGATGGCGCCTTTGGTTTGATCGGATCTTTGGTGGGGCGGGATGGAAACCGTGTGCGAAGACCGGAGGGAGGGAGAGGCCGCCGAGACGAGACCGACGACCCGGGCGGGGGGAGGCGACTGGTAAACGACGCCGACGGAGGGAATTTTTTTGTGTGGCGCTACTTGCCGCCAGGGGTGGGTTCTGGCCCGGTTTGTCAGTGGGAGTGCGGCTGGTTGGTGCCGGATTGCGTGCGACCCTGTCGCTGCGGGTGGGTGCCGCGGCAGCCGCAACGGCGTGTTCTCCTTTGGTCCACCCCGAGGATCCTTCGAGGCATGCTACTCCACTAGACAACTCCAACTGCCGATTCATTTGATCCGTGCGCGTCTGTTTGGATCACCGCGGATAGAAAAGTTAGTTTAATGCGTCGATTCAAACGAACACGCGTCCGCTTTTCGTCCGACTGCCGACCCATTCCCAGCTCAAATTTGAGTCTCATTTGCATCGGCACGGACACGAAACGGTTACTTCTTCCTCTGGCCCATCAGTCGGTGGCACAACGACCATCACTTTCCTCTACTTTCCCAAACCCTCCTGCCTACTCGCGCTCCCGGCCATGGAGGACACGCCGACCCTCGATGCCGCCGCCGGCCTCGCCTCCCTTGCCTTGTCCGGCCTCACCTTCGTCGGCTCCGCCAAAGGCAAGCCCCCCGCGCGCCCCGCAAGACCGTCACGCCACCCAAGAAGAAGAAGCTGACGCTCGAAGAGCGGGCAGTGTAGTTGGTCAAGAGGAAGGGCCGGAGGCACGCAGCGGACGAAGGGACGAAGCAGTGGCCGTCGCCGCCCTCTCCACCGCTGCACAGCGGGAGGAAACCAACGCCCGAGTCGCCGTGGCAACGAGGGAGGCCCTGATCTACCTAGGGAAACCTTGGCCAGCACAGGCTCGTCAGCGCCATCGTGGCCGCGGCCAGCAAGGGCTCGTCGGCATTCCCTCGGATGGTGCTGCTAGAGTCGCCGCGCGCGTCTGCCACGTAGCCGATTCCCTGCCTCCACGTCTATCTGCAAGCCTCCTGCTTCTGCGGGGAATGCTCGCCGGAGCTGAGCGTGCTGGCGCCGTCCATGCCCGCGCTCGTGACCATCGACCTCAACGCCGCGCCGGTGGGTGGTGCATCATCCTCCGGAGGGGCGAGGAAACGCCCGCGTGAGATGCCAGCCGACATGCTCCCCGGCGCCTGCAACTTGTTGTGGCCAACAACAACGAAACAACCAAGCGTTTCATCATCGAGAACATCATCTTCGAAGGTGGTGCGGTGGCACTGCCTCCGCTGGCGGTGCTGGCACGACTGCCTACGATCCCGATGAGACCCAGAGCCAAGACGGTCAAGTGCCATTCACGCTGGCGAGCTAGGATCAAGCTGGCATGCACGACGCTTTCATGGAAGATCAAGTCGGCCCGGGCAGCTTCCCGCTCGACCACGAGTTTTCGTAGGACTATGACCTCGAGGAAGAGGATGAGATGGACATCGACGGGGAGCCTTTGTTCGAGGACGAGCTCGCCAACCAAGCCATCGCGAAGACGAAGCGCAAAAGCAAACGGACGAAGGCATACACGCCGTATGAGGACAAGCTCCTTTGTGAGTGTTGGAGGGACATGGGCAAGACTCCAAGGTCGGTACTGAACAAAAGGCATCAACCTTTTGGCTTCGTGTTCATCGTGAGTTCCATAAACACAAGAAGTTTGCGCCGTACCAAATGCAAAGCAAGCGTGGGTGGGTGTCCATCTCGAAGCGATGGTGGGTGATACAACAAGAGTGCAACAAGTTTTGTGCCACCCTTGAGAGCATCAAGGCACGACCCGTGAGCAACATCAGCATAAAAGATATGGTATACATGCGCCCCTCTTCGTATTCATTCACGTTATGCTTGCATGTCCATTTTTGCATTTGCCCGTATGCTTGCATGCTATTCATTTTTAGGCATTCCAAGTGTTAGGGCATATTTCTCCCTTAGTGGTTTTGGTGATTGATGATAATGCTTTTACGGACTAATTGTGTGCATTGAGCATTTCAGATAATCTATGACATAAGAGGATTCGTGCCCCTCGGAGCTATTGTGAAAATGTTGTTTTTCCTTCGTTTCCTTTTCGGTGGATTCGAGTCGTAGGAACACCGTACTATTAAGAGGGGGTCCGCTTCGGAAAGGTTTGGGTGTAATCAACACGTACACTATCTCTTTGCACCCTCGATCTTTCGCTTCAATTGAGTGTGTCCTTCCTTGTGCTTGAGCTTTTCAGAACAACATAAGCGGTAGTACCGCTCTGCTCAGCGGTAGTACCGCTCCAGCGATACTGCCGCAGAACAGTGCTACCCTCACTTCCGCTTGTTATGCGCGTTCTGTAAACGGGCGGTAGTAGAGCGGCAGTTCAGCGTGGTAGTCCCGCTCTAGCGGTACTGCGGCTTTGACTACCACTCTACTACCACAGGTTTACTGGGCACTGTTTAGATGAGCGGAAGTACCGCTCCTGCGGGTGGTAGTACCGCTCCGGCGGAACTACCACGATCTTCTACCGCAAGGAGTACCGCTTGTTTTGTTATCTCTGTCCCACAAGCGGAAGTAGAGCGGCAGTGGAGAATGGTGGTACCACCCACGACGGCACTACCACCCTGTCTTCCTCTACTACCGCGGATTCCAACTGTTGTTCAACACCAAGCGGAAGTACCGCTGGTGGGAGCGGTAGTACCGCTCCGGCGGCACTACCACTTCCCTGACATGCTCATTTGAGCGCAATGGATGAAATCTTCCGTGCCAATGGAAGTACCGCTCACCTGAGCAGTACTACCGCTTGTGCATGGGCTATGAGTGCATAACGGTTGGATTTCATCCCCCACTATATAAAGGAGTCATCTTCCCTAAGCTGACTTACCTCTTCCTCCCCCAAGCTCCATTGTTGCTCACAAGCTCATTCTTGCCCGATCTCTCTCCCTAGCCAATCAAACTTGTTGATTCTTTAGGGATTGCTTGATAAGGCCTAGATCTACACATCCACTAAGAGAAATTTGATTCCACTCACTAATCCCTTGCAAATCTTATTACCCTTGGGTGTTTGAGCACCCTAGACGGTGAGGTCACCACAGAGTCACATTCCATTGTGGTGAAGCTTTGTGGTGGTGTTGGGAGCCTCCAATTCGGTTCTGGAGAGAGCGTGAGGAGAATACGGTGGCCCTACTGACTTCTGGGAGAGCATTGTTTGTAAAGGCCTGGTTGCCACCTTCAAGTGCACCACTAGTGGAATCATGACATCTTGCATTGTGTGAGGGCGTGAGGAGAATACGGTGGCCCTAGTGGCTTCTGGGAGAGCATTGTGCCTCCACACCGCTTCAACGAAGACGTACTTCCTCTCAAAGGGAAGGAACTTCGATAACACATCCTCGTCTCCACCGGCTCTGGTTGTGGTTATTTCTTACCTTTACTATGTGCAAGCTTTACTCGTGTTGTATCCTTTGCTTGCTTGTGTTTGTTGTTGTTGCTTGCATCATATAGGTTCCTCACCTAGTTGCACATCTAGACAACTTATTTGTTGCTAACCCTAATTTTTAAGAAAAGCTAAAAATTGGGAGTTGCCTATTCACCCCCCTCTAGTCAACCATATTGATCCTTTCAATTGGTATCAGAGTCTCGTCTCTTTATTAAGGGTTTCACCACCCGAAGAGTATGGTTGACGGAGATGAGGAAGTGCCCGAGGCTGTGGAGTTGAACTCGATCACCCGAGATGACTTAAATGAAGCTATGGCTTCACTTAAAATGTCTATGATGGCCGAGGTCAAGTCCATGCTTAAAGAATTACTTGAGGGGTTGAAAACCACTCCCGGCCTGTTGCTTGTGGTTAATCCCACTGCATCGGAGTCAGAGGCCAATTTCGACATGGAAGCGGCTAAAGGTACTCAAACTTCCTCCCCTCAAAACAAGAATGGGACGGGAACCTTTTTCTCGGTTCCCCCTCCCCGGTCTATGGAGTACCGGTCCCTACACCGCATATTAACAACCTTGGTCCTCCTCCTAAACTTGTGAAGGGTGATTTTGCTAATTGGCTTTTTCATATTAAGTCTCATTTGAATCACAACTCAATGAATCTTCGGAGAATCATCTAGCAAGGCTTCTACCCACATGATCCAAACAACCTCACCCAAGAGAAGAGGCAGACAATCAATACAATCACTCCGCATTGTTCATCCTCCAATCCATGGTGCTTCTCGAAGACCTATCTCACTTGCATCCCTTCTCCCGTGCAAAGGATTGTTGGGAACACATCATATCTTTGTACAAGGGGAGCTCAAGCTTTCAACGGTCCAACTTTGAGGTGGTTCTTGATGAAGTCGGTGAGTTTGTGATTATTGAAGATGAGGATCCTCGTGATCTCTATCGAAGATTGACAACTCTTGCGGTCGCTCTCCAAGATCATGGAGCAAGGATATGGATGACAATTGGATCAAGCGCAAGTTTCTCAAGGCCATCATGCCATTAAATAAGGCCATGTCCTCCGTGATCCGTCAAAGGCCGGACTTCCATATCTTGTCTTCAAGTTAGGTGTTGGATGAGTTTATTGCCATGAACATCATGAACAAGACCGTAGATAATGCTCTAGCTCGTGTCCAACGGTCAAGGATGAAGGAAATATGCCCTAGAGGCAATAATAAAGTTATTATTTATTTCCTTATATCATGATAAATGTTTATTATTCATGCTAGAATTGTATTAACCGGAAACTTAGTACATGTGTGAATACATAGACAAACAGAGTGTCACTAGTATGCCTCTACTTGACTAGCTCGTTGATCAAAGATGGTTATGTTTCCTAACCATAGACATGAGTTGTCATTTGATAAACGGGATCACATCATAGGAGAATGATGTGATTGACTTGACCCATTCCGTTAGCTTAGCACTTGATTGTTTTAGTTTACTGCTATTACTTTCTTCATGACTTATACATATTCCTATGACTATGAGATTATGCAACTCCCGATTACCGGAGGAACACTTTGTGTGCTACCAAACATCACAACATAACTGGGTGATTATAAAGGTGCTCTACAGGTGTCTCCGATGGTACTTGTTGAGTTGGCATAGATCAAGATTAGGATTTGTCACTCCGATTGTCGGAGAGGTATCTCTGGGCCCTCTCGGCAATGCACATCACTATAAGCCTTGCAAGCAATGCAACTAATGAGTTAGTTGCGGGATGATGCATTACGGAAACGAGTAAAGAGACTTGCCGGTAACGAGGTTGAACTAGGTATTGAGATACTGATGATCGAATCTCGGGTAAGTAACATACCGATGATAAAGGGAACAACGTATGTTGTTATGCGGTTTGACCGATAAAGATCTTCGTAGAATATGTAGGAGCCAATATGAATATCCAGGTTTCGCTATTGGTTATTGACCGGAGATGATTCTCGGTCATGTCTACATAGTTCTCGAACCTGTAGGGTCCGCACGCTTAACGTTCGGTGACGATCGGTATTATGAGTTTATGTGTTTTGATGTACTGAAGGTAGTTTGGAGTCCCGGATGAGATCGGGGACATGACGAGGAGTCTCAAAATGGTCGAGACATAAAGATCAATATATTGAACGACTATATTCGGACATCGGAAAGGTTCCGAGTGATTCGGGTATTTTTCAGAGTATCAGAGAGTTACGGGAATTCGCCGGGGAGTATATGGGCCTTATTGGGCTTTAGGGGAAAGAGAGAGAGGAGGCTGCGCGCCCCCCCAAGACCTAGTACGAATTTGACTAGGGGGAGGGGCAGCGCCCCCTCCTTCCTTCTCTTCTCTTTTCCCTTTCCTTCTCTCCTACTCCTACTACATGGAAGGGGGGGGGCAATCCTACTCCCGGTGGGAGTAGGACTCCCCGGGGCGCGCCATAGGAGGGCCGGCCCTCCCCCCTCCCCCACTCCTTTATATACGTGGCCAGGGGGCACCCCATACACACACAAGTTGATCATTGATCCCTTAGCCGTGTGCGGTGCCGCCCTCCACCATAATCCACCTCGATCATATCGTAGCGGTGCGTCGGTAGCAACATCATCACCGTCATCACGTCGTCGTGCTGACGGAACTCTCCCGTGAAGCTCTGCCGGATCGGAGTTCGTGGGACGTCATTGAGCTGAACGTGTGCTGAACTCGGAGGTGCCGTGCGTTCGGTACTTGGATCGGTCGGATCGTGAAGACGTTCGACTACATCAACCGCGTTCTCATAATGCTTCTGCTTACGGTCTACGAGGGTACGTGGACGATACTCTTCCCTCTCGTTGCTATGCATCACCATGGTCTTGCGTGTGCGTAGGATATTTTTTGAAATTACTACGTTCCCCAACAGTGGTATCCGAG